TTATAAGACAAGATCCAACGTTGACTTATGAGCATGAGGCTTCCCACTGCGCCAAAATCATTCCGCAGCGACCCAGCAACACTTTTCAATAATCCGAGATTGGCTAAATCGGAGTTTTATGTTAAAGTAAATTTAAGTGGTCATGAGCTTCATACCTCAAGCTAGAGATCATAAATTTAAATTTTGAGACAAATAAAAAAAATTAAGAGAAAAAAAATTGTTAATTATTTAAATAATTTAATAGTAATATCTTTTTATTAAAAATAAAAAATTTTGAATTTGAATCGCATGGTATGTAAATAGAGTATGGCAAAAGATAAAAGATAATTACTTTTCATTATATAACCAAAATAAAAAAAGAGAGAAGAAAAGTGTATAATTTATTATTTGATATATTAAAAATATATATATCTTTTTTAAAAATGGTTATCTAATATATACGGTTAAAAGTGTATTAATTATACTTTTTATATTTAATTTTTATAAAAAAAATAAAAAAATTTTATCACACATTTTTTCTAAATACAAAAGTTAAGAATATAATAAACAGATTTTTTGTAATTAATTTGTATTAAAAGTGTAAATATTGATTTCAATTTAATCAATTAATTAATTAAAATCATATGTGTCAATGATTAAAATACATATTAATTTTTATAATTTTTTATGTAAATTAATTTAAAAAATATGTCACGCCCTAGAACCTAAATCCGGGGGTGGAAGAGACGGAGTACACTTGTAAGAGGACCCCACGGAGTACACTTGTATGAGGATCCCACAAATGCACAAAGCTCGGACTTTGCTAAATTCATAACTAATAATCTACATAAACTTAGATCAATAACCCAAAATAAAATCTAACTTACAAATGAATGATCTATATTTCAAAAAAAAAAAAAAATCTATGCCCAAAACACAAGTAACTAGCCTTCTAGCTCGTCACTCATCTTGGTTTCCCATGTCTTGGTTCTTACTACCTGAAATGATGGATAAAGAAAAATTATGTAAGATAACTCAGTAAATAAAAATATGGATAGCCCTTAATTAAACTTAAAGCATTCAAAAAAGTGTAATCAAGTATAAAGAAAAATGAGTCCAAGTACGGGAATGAAATAGACGTCTCCTCTATAAGTCATGGCTAATGTTTATAAACCTCCCACTGACGGGCACAAGATTTACTAGTGTATAATCCCACTAGCAGGATAACAATGCTACCCTATGCATTAAATAGGGTAGCATTTTATATATATTTAATATATATTTAATATATAATAATATAATAATATATATTTATTATTTATTATATAATTATTATAGATTATTAAATATATATTTAATATATAATAACAGATATTTATTATATATTTATTATTATTTATTATTATATAATAATAATATATGATTACAATTTTTTCTCACCTTTTCGTTTTCTTTTTCTTTATATATAATTCCCTTTCATCTTTCTACTCACCTATATATAAACTCTCACTTTTCTCTATACTAATATATTATATTCTTCTCTTTATCTCTTCAATTTCATTTTATTAATATGGTGAGTTCCAACTTTATCTTTTCACATTCTTTGTCTTTTACTTTTTATCTTTATATTTGTCACGCCCCAGAACCCAAATCCGAGGACGTGGCAGACGCCGTGCACTCGTGAGACGGGTCCCACAAGTGCATAAGGCTTGGAACTTATTCAAATCACAAACTAATACCATCAAAATCTGAAGATCAAAATTTATGATTTGCTCCAATATCATAAATCTCCAATAAAGTCGAGTTTACCATATCACGATTTATTTCTAAAATCTATGTCTAAAATCCGTATCAATTTACAGGTGGCTAGCCTTCTAACTCGTCACTCCCCTTGGTTTCCCCGTCCTCGGTATCGCTTCCTGAAATGATGGACAAGGAAAACTATGAGATAACTCAGTAAGTAAATATGGATAGCCCTTGGGTAAAACTTTTAAGCATGCCAAATAAACCATGTAAGTATAATAGAACTTTCACTGATAAATCGTTAATGCGGAATCAAATTCAGTTCAATAGCAAAACGTTCAATGACAAACCGTTAAAACAAAATCAGATTCAGTTCAATATCAAAGCCTTCATGATAAACCGTTCATATAGAATAAAACTCAGTTCAGTAGTCTCATCAATAAGTCATGACCAGTGTTTAACAACTCCCACTGGCAGGCATCAGTAATGGTACTAGTGTTTACAAACTCCCACTGGCAGGCGTAGTAATAACCAATGTTTAACCCCATTGGTAAGGTTTCAAAAGTAATAGTGTTTAACAAACTCCCACTGGTAGGCGTCAGTAATGGTACCAGTGTTTAACAACTCTCACTGGCAGGCGTCAGTAATAGTACCAGTGTTTACAAACTCCCACTGGCAGGCATCAGTAATGCCCAATGTTTAACCCCATTGGCAGGGTGAACCGGTTCTACAGAAATACATGTCGACATGTGCTAGCGTTTACAGTTCCCACTAGCGGGCGTCAGTAATCATGACTATATCCGAGACAAAACCATGTAGGATTTACAGAAAAACCTGAATTTCACAATCAATCCTGAATTTCAGAACAACCGAAAAATATCCATGCAGGCATGGATTTAACAGAAAACTCAACATTTACAAAATTCTCAGTTCATCAAAGCATTTCAGTCAATTCCCAAATGGGCATGCTCAACTCCAGAAAAACAATGAAATTCTCATTTTCATTTCTCAATCATGCTCATTTCCAGAAAATCAATAAAATCCTCATCTTCATTCCAATCATGCTCAATTTCAGAAAAACAAAGAAACTCTCATGAAAATCATCCAAAATTTCATTTCAGTTTAATCACACTCAAATGCTGATAAAATCAATTTAAAATCAATTTAAAATCAATTTAAACCTTGCCACCATTTCAAAAACAATTGAAAACATGCTTTAAAATCGAAGGGCTTTACCATAATTTACTTACCTCGCATAAAACTGAGCACTCAATCTCAGTGCTAACTGACAGAACAATCGAGAACCTAATCAAAACACCTCAGAATTAATACCGGACTATCACAAATTCAAACTGAAATCATCATTAAAATCACTCCTAATCCCAATGCTATTCCTATCGATCTTCACATAACCGGATATCTCCAAATTCATTCTTATATCACAAACTAAACCTTTAAATCCCCGTTAATTGTTAACCCTCGGTGTGTGAACATGCCTATGAACAGTACCCCGTGAACAGTGATTCGCAGTGAACAGTGACTGTAACTTCCAAAATTGGCCAAAACACTAGCTAATCTCACGGGATTTTCACACAAAACATCACAGCAGCTAATTCAAGCTAAATTCTACTTAATCAAGCTTAAAACACATTTAAAATGCTACTAAATGCTACCGGAATTCCTCCCCATTTCCGGCACAATTCGGACACACACAGGCAGCAATCAATCAACTAGTTTTCAAGAATTAAAGAAGCCAACCTACCAGAAATTTTCAGCAAGCAAGGCTGGAGCTGGCGGGTTTGGGGTGGAGGCCGGCGGCATGTACAGAAAAATTCAGGGGAAACTCACGGCTACCTCAATCCAAAAACCAAAACACAATTCAAGGTAAACCCAAGCCAAATTCAAAGCTAAAGAGATGAATTCATGACTGTGGCTTACCAGAAAAACCGAAGGATTCAAACCCAGCAGAACCCGACGGACAAAGGAGAAGAACAGAGCAGAACCGAGATTTCCTGGGTTGAGAGGGAAGATTCTAAGCCCCAAATCTTGTGATTTAACAAGAAAGGAAGAGAAATTCATCAAGATCTCACCGGGTTTTTTCAAGGGGGAGAAAGTCGGTGGCTTGGGGGGGCTTGTCGGGTGCAGGGGAGAAGAAAAAAAGAGCAGATGCGCGGATAAGGAAGAAGAAAGAAAGAAAAAGAAAGAAAAAGCAATTGATCCTTATCCTATTTCCTTTCTTTTTAGGTCCCTTAACTTTTGAAAATATTACGATTAAACCCCAAAATAATATTTTCCCTCAAATAAGTCCCTTACTTAATGCTAAAATATCCCCAAATTTTGGGATATTACAATATTCTTAATTATTTTATCATTATTAATTTTCATTATATACATAATATAATGTAATATAATGCGTTAAAAATGAAGGAAGATGAATAGATGTTTAAAATTTATGAAAAAAAAATGCATGAGGTTGTAATACATGGCATAATAAGTATTTATACGATTACAATTTTTTCTAACCTTTTGGTTTTCTTCTTTATGTACAACACCCTTCCATCTACCTACTCATCTATATATAAACCCTCACTTTTCTCTACACCAATATATTATATTCTTTTCTTCATCTCTTCAATTTCATTTTATTATCATTTTATTAATATAGTGAGTTTCAATTTTTTTCTTTTTTGTTTCCTATTTCATATTGTATCTAAATATAATATTACGTTTTTATTTTATATATCTTTTTTCACCTTAATCTAAAATATGTATATTGTTGTATAAACTACTTTCCTTATTAATCTTATTAGTTTTTTATGAATTTTTTTTATAGAAGATATGATAATTGTTTTTTTGAAAAAATTTTGTAACTTTATCTATTTGAAATTTATGTATTATTTTCTTTTTTTATTATTAATGGTTCAATTTTTTTTTTTTTTTGGGAATGTGTGGTAAGGACAAAGCTATATTGAAAGGATTAGAGAAAAGTTATGAATTCGATAAATATTAAGTTATGTGAAAATATTACATTTTTTTGTAAGATATTAT